ACTGCAGAATTGGGCGCGCGTGGCAGGCGCGCGTGCGGCCTGCGGCTGGCGCCTTCCCGCGCGCGTGGCCACGCATTTCCAGCGTGCTGCTGGGCGCGTGAGCGCGCGTGGGACGGCCAATTTGGCCCGGTTGTTTTCTGTTTTCTCGATTTTTGTCCCGGCTCCAGTTCTAATACTGTTTTTACGTGGATAGGGACTTAATTTAGAGAAATCAGTAGTTTTGGACACCTCACGGGCAAAGAAACGCTAGCGAAAGGGCACGCGTCAACCAGGTAAGTCACCACCCGGTTTTTAGGAAGAAATACTTGTAGGATTCGCTAGGATTGCATGCATGCTAGTAGTTCTGCTTCAGATTAGCTATTCATGTAAGTTACTAGTCAGTTTATCTGTCGTGGTTGAATTGGGTAAATTACATGAGTGTTGCTTGTATGCCTTAGGCTTCCGCCGTATGTATGCATGCGTTATTTTATGTGTAGAATTGAGTATGCCGGGTTTCGGGTGTTTGATGGACGAATTCGCCCCATTGAGCGCGAACTTAGTGCTCTGGGTGCTTGATGGAGGTCATCGCCCCGCTGAGCCGGTATGCCTAGTTTGCATGAATTACATACTATGATGTAGAAGAAGATTACATGCACCCTCTGTTAATTATTTCCTTGATAAGATTAGGGAATCTTGGATAGGAGCGAAATGCCGCTCCAGCCTGACTTAATCTTTCCCTAGGAACTTAGTGGTTTACCACGGTAAGAAGGTACCCCGGAGCGTTCATAGATTGCTAGCGTGTGAACGGTATCTATAGCTTCGTGGGAGGACCAAGGGGTCCCTGATCAGTCCTTACTGCTCTTAGCCATTTCGCATGGGAAATGTGTCCCCACGTCGTACAGCCCATTAGCTGCATGGGAACGGGTTGGGTCGCGCCCCCCATAGAGGGACTAGATGGGCGTAGGGGTACTCAGCACACCCCTAGGCTAGGTACCATGTAGTCCCAGATAGCCATGTGGAGGTAGCACCTCATAGAGAGATACCGACCATATTAGCTTGGCATATAGAACCTCTGGGCGTTTAATGAGAGAACGAAAAATCAGTGAAACCCAAGGGGCAAGCCCCAAGGGACCTAGATTGGAGCCAGTCGCCCTAGAACCGAAATAGGAAACCGTGGCAACCTATTGAATTAAGATGCGAAAAGAGCCTACAAGTAGGTGGCTTACTGAGTATAATTTTTATACTCATCCTTGCTATGTTTTCCTTTTTTTTTTTTCAGGAGCGCGAGGCGTCGGTCAAGAGTGGGCGTGATCTGAAGGGAATTGTCACAGAGGGATGGGTTGTCCCGGGGCGTCAGTCCAGTCTTAGTCTTTATTTTTGTATTCGCATTCCTTTTAAATTTATTTTCCAAACGGTCTTGTGATCTGTGTTATCGTTCGAAAAACTTTATTGAAATTTGATGATTTTTTGCTACTTCATATTTAAATCTCTTGTGCGTCTGTGTCGTGTCGTTGGTCACTGTCCGTAGTAAAATATTGGGCTGTGACAAATTCCATCACTTTTCATCATAACCAAAACTTTCCATAAAGCCTGTTTTGAGTCAAACATCAAAATCCATTACCATAATATTTCTTTCAAATTTGTAATAGAAGTTCACTTAAAGCAAAGCTTTGATTCACAGTTGATTTTGGGCAAAGTGTTATCAAAAAATGAAGAGCACCCCGCTACTATAAAAGACAGCCCATTGAGAGGACACAAGCTGTCAAATCATCCACAAAGATAACCCTAAGTGTTGTTGAAGCTTTTTCTTGTCAGTCCAAAAGCCAACAACCTTGTCAATACCATTGTTCTACCTAAATAGGACTGGAAAGCGCCAAATATTAGGATAAATGTTATGAAACTTCCAGCTTAAGATGGCCTCCATCACCCATGAACGTAAAAGTTGACCATTAGGCATGCATGTCTTTTCCAGCCCTCCGCCAGCATATGGTTGAGGGGACGGCATCAACAACCTTCCCATTACCAACTACCTTCCTTTTTCTCATCACTCTCAATTGGAAGGGTATCTTGGACTTGCCTAATTATATCATTGTTACTCTTTATTGTCATTGTTTCAAACATTCTCCTTTTGGAATTGAGATAGGATGTCAACACTCCAAAACCTAGGTATTAATTATATTTATTAGTGAAGTTTAGTGATGATGGTGAGTGTTACAAAATTAAGAAACAGGGTAATTAGGAGCGAGTAAAGAAGCATAAAGGGAAAATAAAGCATTGGAATGAATGTACATAACACAAGGTAAGTGGGAACAGATGAAACTGGAAAAGAAAGTTATATTTGCAAATTTGAATTGAAGTTGATTGGATTTGGATTTGGTATCACTGCCGACTCCTCGAAATAAAAATCCAAATTCTTAAACTCAGCAGCAGCAGCAGTAGTAGTGTGATTATTGTGAGGTTGAGGTTGAGGTTGCGATTGCATCACTACACTTCCCGCAGCCTCTTCAGTGGCCAGAGGCATTATTAATGCACCCACATCAGCCTCCTCATCCTCCCACATCCTCCGCAACCGCTCCCTTTCAATCACCATACCCAAATCACAGTCTAAGCTATTATTACTGGACGACCCCGTTACTATTCCACATCCACTCTCAAACAATTCCCAATTCATCATGCCCGGTACTATGGGTGCACCCCAACAAGAAGACCCAGTTTGAAGCTGCTGCTGCTGCTGCTCCTCCAACCAGGTGTAGTTATTGGAGTTATAGACGTAGCTGCCATTAACAACGTCGCCCATTATTTGATCATGATCGTTATAAGCATTCATATTATTATTATTATTATTAGCAGCGGCAGCAGCAGCAGCAGCATGATGATGTTGTTGTTGTTGCTGCTGCTGCTGCTGTTGATGGCGCGCAGGGAGGAGATTGTGGGTGTTGGGATCAAGGCCAAGAGCAAGCAGCTTCTTCTTGATGGAGGAATTCCAGAAGTTCTTGATCTCGTTGTCGGTTCTGCCGGGGAGATGCTTGGCTATCTGCGCCCATCGGTTCCCAAGGATTCGGTGGACGTCGATGATGGTCCTTTCCTCCTCCGCGCTGAAACACCCTCTCTTCAGGTCAGGTCTCAAGTAGTTAATCCACCTCAGCCTGCAGCTCTTCCCACACCTGTCCAGCCCCGCCATCTTGGGCACCCGGCTCCAACAAGCCTGCCCCTCAATCTTCCTTATACACTTCATCAGCTTCTCGTCTTCTTCCGGAGACCACAGCCCTCTCTTCACCTTCACCTTGGTGCAGCAGCTGTGGTGCCCCATCTTCTCTTCATCAATACCTACTACCACCTCTCCTCCTTGTTAACCATATTTAGTATTCTCACCCTTCACTAATTAATTTATGGACATTCTAGAGGAATACACATTACTTGTGGCTAATTATAGATGCATCCAATAATTAACCATTCATTAATCTTCCAAACCCATCTCCTGAAAGGGACGCCTACTGGGTTTTGGGACAAACTTCACCACCAATCTTTATTCTTCCAAATTCATCCTACATCTATGGCTACACATTTTCCACATAAATAAATATTAATGTTACCCACAAGACTTGTGTTTCCCCTGTGCATGGTTAACTAATTGTTTATAAATCCAACTAATTCCTGCCCCTACGTCAACCAAAACAGAAGTTATCACAGGCAAATTCCTGCCCCTACGTCAACCAAAACAGAAGTTATCACAGGCAGCTCAAAACTTGTAACGCATGAGTCAATTGTGGTTAATTACGAAACAAGATATCGACAATCCTTCACGCATTTAAAATCAATATTATTTTAAATTCTCTTCAAATTTGTTGTGTTTGTTATTTACCTCCTTGCCCACGAGGCCCATTCCATTCCATTTGAAGTCCAAAACGGCAAAGAAGCCCAAGGCATTCAAATCTCAAAAGCCCATAAACAAGGTTCTGCCCCTCCCTCTCAAAACCCTAAATTCTCTAGAGGCAATCAATCAAAGCCACCCGGGACTCGGAGCGTGAAGAAGCTCATCGGAGAGAAGAAATATGGCGAAATCCATGAGATCCAAGAGAGAGAAGAGGCTGAGAGCCATCAGGAGAGAGATGGTTGAGCCTATTTACGACAAGAAAGACGCTGCGAAGCTCGCTGCTCAACAGGCTGCTCTTGCTGCCCCTAAGCTTCCCGTGCGCCCCTCTCCTTTCACCAATATCTCTACTATGGACGTCGCACCAGCCTCTACTTCAACCGCCGCCGACGCTGCTATGGGTACCCCCTTTCTTCTTTTTATTACTTGTACATGTTTCGTTTTGCTTTTCTTTTTTAATTATTTGGGTTGTGGCTTTAACTTTAGTGGTTTTTCATCTCATTGTATGGAAATTCTTTCATTCTTTCATTCTCTTCGACTCAATCCACGGCGAATCTCGATATCAAAACTATTTCTATTGGCTAGGTGCTCAATTTGTAGTCCGTTCGTCCCTTCTTATGACAATATCCACTTCTTTTTAATTCTTCATGAATTAGTCTGCATTCCTAGCACTCAGATGTTGTAGGATCAAAACGAGAGAGCAGTCAGTGGTGTAGTGTAGGAGGAATGTGGCTCGTTTTTTGAAACTCAACTCTTATTTTAAGCTTTAGGCAGATGAATGCAACTTCTTTTATCATCTTGTATGTATAAGTCATATTAGACGTACAGTATGAAGTATTAAAAATGTTCTCTTTTAATAAGCTAGTAATGTTTGTTTTGGTCCTTTCTCTCTGTGATTATGACCCTAAACCTTTGTCATGAAAACTAAAGGAAGCGTAATGCTAAGTGTTGTTATATTGTGCTTTCCTATGAGCTAGAGACTAGGTTTTGTTTTTAAAATTTTAGAAGAGTTATGTTTTAAGCTGCTGGATGGGGATGGGGTGTTTTGAGAAGAAATCTGGAAAGGGTCTTTCCAACTCCAATGGTGGCAGCTGCAGAAAACAGAAAGAACAATAATAAATCTTCATTACTTGTTGAAACTATTAATTTGAGCTGAGTTGTCTGTAAAAGTAAAGAATATGAATGAGGTTTTGTTGGCTGGCACTCTACTAGGCCTTGAGAATAGAGTTGTTGGATTGGAGGCCCTCATTTATTTGTTTGTTTGTTTGTAATTGCGTGTTACAGAGGTGGAGATGGATGATGGCAGTGAAAGCATGATGGCGCTGAAGGCTGTTGGTGGGATTGGCAAGAAATCCAAAAAGAAATTCAAGGTTGGGAAGGCCAAGCGGCGTGGTAAGTGCAAGATCAAGAGGAATCGCCACATCTAGTCCCGTGGCCACTGTACTTGGATACATGGCCTCTCCCAATACTTAACTATATTGTATTAAGTACTAAGTTCAGTGACATTTGGTTAACCCTTCAAGTTTAATTATTTATTTCTTACTCTCACTCTTCTGTTTACTTGGTCAGCCAATTCTAGCACTTTTTTGTCCAAACCCTGTTCCAAGACTTTACAGGAATCCTCATAATTTTGGTTTCAAATCATTCTAATTTAATATATTTTAAAATTATTATTAAAAAAATTTAACAAAATTATTGATGGAAGACTTAATAGAGAATATTAATATATCAAGGATAAATATTAGAAGTAATTTTGATATGAGAATTTAAATTGAAATTTAAAAGAAGAAGTATGACGTTGATCTCACTTTAACCAAAAATTAATTATTGTAGTATTTATTTTAGCTTTAGTTTAAAAAAAAAAAAAAAAAAAAGCAGAAATGAGATGAGTTAATGAAAAAGAAGCACATGTTGAGCATCGGAAATGACAGTGGTTTGAGTTCTACCTATGTGGTTTGAGTTAATAATAATAAAATAATAAAAACCTACAATACCCATGAGCGAATCAAGCAAGCAAGGCGAAGAGGCGAGAAGTTGTCCTGAAAACTGAAAATCAGAGAGAGCTGAGTTGTTATTTTGCAAATATCTGGTCTGCTTCTGGTTTTCCCCAAATTTTCTGGAGCTGCCGCGATCTTCATCCTTCCTCCTTCCTCCTGATTTAGGTTTGATTGTTCATCTTTTCTTCCCAATCCCCAATCCCCAATCCAAATCCCCAATCCCAATCCCCAATCCCAATCCCTCACTTTCCCTTCTCTAATTTTAGACGCCTTCTCGACGGAACTCTTGACTGGCTGCCCCATGGAAAGCGGAGCAGGTATTCCTTTTTTTATTTTGCGATCTCTCTTCATGTTTGCGTCGCTTTTCTTTTCTTTTTTTCTTTCCTTTCCTGTGATTTCGATGTCTTCTCTCTTTCTCTCATTCTGCTTATACCTCCTCTAATTCGCCTTATAAATGACATTTTTCTCTCCTATAATTGCATTTCTCAAGGTATATCTCGTTTCCCCTCCCCCCATTAGGTGCCTTGTCAATGGGAGGCCTCTCACTGACACACAACTTCCCTTCTTCTCCATTCATGGGAGGAGACCCTCTACTGCATATGTGGGACGTTGTATGATAAATACTTCGTCATCTCTGAGTGCCTTCAGAGGTGAAATTAATGGTGGATTCGAAGTGGATTTGATTTTTTTTCTTCATCAACTATGGATTCCAATGCGATCGTGTGCAGTTCTATGACAGAACCATGCCCTGGCATGGAATTTGAATCTCATGAAAATGCATATTCATTCTATAGAGACTACGCCAAGACTATGGGCTTTGGAACTGCCAAATTGAGTAGCCGTCGTTCTAGGGCATCTAAGGAATTTATTGATGCCAAATTTTCATGCACAAGATATGGCAATAAGCAACAATCTGATGATGCTATCAACCCACGACCCTCTCCAAAAATTGGTTGTAAGGCGAGCATGCATGTGAAGAGAAAACAGAATGGGAAGTGGTATGTTTATAGTTTTGTAAAAGATCATAATCACGAGCTTTTACCATCTCAAGTTCACCTTTTTAGAAGCCACCGAAACACTGATCTACTCAAGAATGATGTCAGAATACGGAGACGAAAGAATTTAGCTGCCATGTCAAAAATGTTCAGTGCTTATCAGAATGTTGATTGTTTAGAAAGCTATGTGAAAAACCAACACGATAAAGGCCGCACTTTGGTCCTAGAATCAGGGGATGCGCAAATTCTTCTTGAACTTTTTATGCATATGCAGGAAGAGAATCCAAAATTCTTTTATGCAGTTGATTTGAATGAAGGGCACCAGTTCCGCAATGTGTTCTGGGTTGATGGCAAAGGAATGGAAGATTATGTGCGCTTTGGAGATGTGGTTTCATTTGACACCACTTATTTCACAAACAAGTATAAGCTACCATTAGTTTTTTTCATAGGAGTGAACCATCATATTCAGCCTACTTTACTTGGTTGTGCACTGATTGCAGATGAGACAGTTAATACATTCAGTTGGTTAATACAAACATGGTACATAGCAATGGGAGAACGAGCACCACAGGTGATGCTTACTGACCAAAATACCAATATTAAAGCAGTCATTGAGGCAGTTCTTCCTGGAACACGTCACTACTTTTGTCTGTGGTATATTTTGCAAAAGATTCCAAAAAATCTCGAATTTTTAAGCATGTGGCATGAGGGTTTTATGGAGGAGTTCAAGAACTGTGTTTTTAAGTCATGGACTAAGGAACAGTTCGAAAAGAGGTGGCAGAAATTGCTCGATGGATTTAGTCTTAGAGAAGTTGAGTGGATGCAGTATTTGTATGATGATCGTGCTTATTGGGTGCCTTCTTTTGCAAGAGACGTTTCTTTCGCTGGCTTATGCACATCTTCACGCATGGAAAGTCTAAACTCTTTTTTTGACAAATATGTTAAGATTGAAACATCCTTGACGGAGTTTATAGAGCGATATAAAGACATTCTTGAGGATCGATATGAGGAAGAAGCAAAGGCAAATTTTGATGCTTGGCATGATACACCGGAATTGAAGTCTCCATCTCCATTTGAGAAACAAGTTTCACTAGTATATACGCATGAAATCTTTAAAAAATTTCAAATGGAGGTTTTGGGAGCTGCTGCGTGCCATCTTAAGAAAGAAACCGAAGATGCAACTACTACGACATACACTGTCAAAGACATTGAAGATGGTCAGAATTATGTTGTCGAATGCAGTCACTCAAATTCAGATATATATTGCTCCTGCCGCTTATTTGAATATAAAGGTTTCCTCTGTAGACATGCCATTATTGTTCTCCAAATGTCTGGCGTTTTCAGTATACCATCCAAATATGTACTGCAGCGTTGGACTAACACTGCTACAAGCAGGAATCCAATTAACGAAAAGTTGGATGAGGTGCAATGTAAGGTCCGTCGTTTTAATGACCTTTGTCGAAGAGCTATAATATTGGGTGAAGAAGGGTCTTTGTCTCAGGAGAGTTATGACATTGCACTTTCGGCAATTAATGAAGCCTTGAAACAATGTGCAACTGTGAGTAGGAGTAATTCTGCAGAAAATGATGGGAGGCCTGACAACTCAGGAATTCTTGTTTTTGGTATCGAGGAGGACAACCAATGCAGCAGCAGTTTAGCTGTTGAGAATTCACCTGATCTTAAAGTGATCAATGCTAAAAAGAATCCTAAGAGGGCAGGGTCGAGCAAGGAACCTGCAGCCAATGAAATCAGCAAAAATGGAAAGGTGATCATTATAGTTTTTATATGTTCATGCAAATTTGAATTAGTTTTGATGTATTTCATACTCAATACTGAGGACTAATTTGAATTGGCTGTATATATATATGTCAGGTATCTCAACCATTGGATGCAAATGCTGGATCCCAGGATGACTTCAATCAATTGGTAAGCTGTAATGTTGACAGAACCAGGTTTTGATTAGCATCATAACTTTTTCTTAAAAGAAAAATGATGTAAAATATTCTGTCTTGGAGGGCTTGTTTCTTTTAATATTGTTGAACTAAAATAATTCAAGATTCAGGCACCAAGTATGTCTAACAGTCTAAAGAACATGTGTTTGGTTTCTTTGATGATGTGTTATAAACATAGACATTGAAAGTGCCCATTGTGACCTTAATAGCTTAGGTGAGGGAGAAAAATAATTAATCCAATTGTGACCTTAATACCAGCAACATGTGGTAGAACATTTGTTATTGCCGGCATTTACCACCTTGGGTTTGCTACCGAGAAATATATTTATGCATACTAGCGACCCTTTTTCTTGTAGGAAGAGATTGAGAATAGGTACATGGTATTGAGATTCATCTTGCTGTTTTCTTTCCATATTTGTTGCAGGAGTTGAGCGATATGCGGCCAATCCAATTGCATGGAATATCACCGACGCAATTGCATAACATGGTGCCAACACTGCTTCATAATGTGACACCAACACAGTTTCACAGCATGTCTTCTGCACATTTGCATGAGAGTCTTCATCCTCGTTGACGCGTGGAGACCTCTGTAAAAATGTATACCTTATAACTTCCTTGAGAATGTATGTATGCAGCAAAACTAATTAAGAACAGTTTCCCAATTCCAACAAGTGTAGCCTGTTCTAGAAATGAGCAGTACTTGAGTAGTTGCATCAGTCTTTATATTTCCATTCCTCATTTCTGCATTCTGGTTCTCTTCCTCATCGTTAGAACGGCTACAACTTAGTTCTGAGTTTGGGTTCTTTTTAAGAAAAATGTTGCAGGATACCACCAAGGTTTAGTTGCTGTCTGGGGTCGCCTTCGTTTGGCAGGTGCCACCCACCCATTGTTATAATAGTAATAATAAGTAACCTGATTTAATGGGCATTCAACTATCAATAAGCGAGTATATTATTTGGGCAGTTCTTATTGTACAACATCGAATTGCTCAATATAGTTACTTTGAAATTAGATCAAAATAATAATAACAAGAATAATAAACTAAATATTGCTAAAAAGATTTATAGATTTATATTAATGACTAAAAGTATGTACAAAGAGAATATAGAAAGAGAGAAGGTACAAAGAGAATATAAAAAGATAGAGAATATAGAAAGAGTAAGAATATAGAGAGAGAAAGTACCTTCTCAAGAAAGTACATTTTGAAAGCATAGTTATGGATATATGTATGATATATGTATAGTTTAGCTTATTATATAATATAACCATTACTCTATATATAACTCTTTACCTAGATATATGTATAGTTTAGCTTATTATATAATATAACCATTACTCTATATATAACTCTTTACCTATATATAACTCTACACCGTATATAGCTTTTTACTGTACATAACTATTTACTATTTATGATAATCTATGTATCTACCATATGTATATAACTTTTTACTGTTTATGATAATCTATGTATCTACCATATATATTTTTACCCAGTTTTTTACTATACATAGCTATTTACTCTTTATGACACTTTTTACCACCGTAGCTATTTACTATTTATGACACTTTTTACGACCGTAGCTATTTACTATTTATGACAATTTACTCTATATGTCATTTGCCACATATAACTTTACTAGGTATAACTGAGCTACATCAGGCTCTATAACCTAACAATCTCATCCGGCTCCATAACCTAACAATTCTCCCATTTGTAGACTGATCCAGTCAACCAAGAATTTCATTCTCAAACGATCATGAGCATCTTCACTGCACTATACCAATCGAGACTTTGCACAACCTCAATATTCCAACATCAACACATTTTGTCAACATGTTTCTGGATTCTTTGCACCCGCTATCTTCTCCAAACACATCACCATCTTTCACTAACTTGCAAGTGAAATGATATCGCCGTCTGTGTTTTGTCTTTAAATGATAAGACTGGGTTCCTCACCAACTGTATGACACTTATTTTCAACTTCACTTATTGCCACGTATTCAGTCTCAGTACAACGCATTTTTGAAGCCTAGACATCCCATCATCCATGGTTTACTCCCACTTGTTGTATCCTCCAACTGTAGGGTCTCATCAAACAAAGGGCTCTGGTTCACTTTCATCAGCAATAGTGTAATGAAGGTACATACATATCTGGTACTCTAATAGTACTAGATGACCTTTTCCTCCACAATTCCAACAGGTTACGTTTGGTCTATTTGAAGATATTTCTCTGTTCTTTGATTTTGATCGCCCTTTGTTTGGGCCATTCAGTTTGCTTCTTCCCCGTTGGTCAACACTGAGAGCACTACCAGATGAATTTCCAATTTCTCGTTTGTGAATACTTTCGCTAAGAACTACATCTCGAATTTCATCAAACTTCAGTTTATCAGATCCTCGGGAACTGCTGATTGTGGCAAAAACAGTATCCCATGACTCGGGTAAAAATGACATCAAAATCAATGCTTTAATTTCATCATCGAAATTAATTTCCATCGAACTTAATTGACTTACGATCATATTGAATTCATTTATATGATCAACAACAGATCCACCTTCAGACATCTGTAGATTGAATAATCTTCGCATCAAATACACCTTGTTCATAGCCAACGGTTTTTCGTACATATTCATCAGCGCCTTCAACAGATCTGACGTTGTCTTCTCCTCGATGATGTTGAACGCCACATTTCTAGATAGCGTCAACCGGATCAGCCCTAAGGCTTGTTGATCCTTGAGCTTCCACTGTTATGTGGTCATTGTATCCGGCTTCACCCTCAACAGAGGTTCGTGAAGATTTTCTGATACAGATAATTTTCAATCTGTATCTTCCAAAAATCGAAATCGGATTCATTGAACTTCTCAATTCCAATCTTTGAACTTTCCATCTTCACAGATCGTGGTGACTTTCGCCTAGCTCTGATACCAGTTGTTAGGATCGCACAACAACGCACACACTCGATCTAGATGAACACAAAGAACAAGATAAAGAAAATGCAAAAAGAATATTGGCTAAAAAATTTATATTGATGACTTCGAGTATGTACAGTTAAAGAATATAAAGAATATAGAAAGTACATATTCAAAACTACGTCGGAGGGATATATATATAGTTTAGCTTAATATATATAGTTTACTGGATATAATCATCTACTATATATAATTATTTACCATATATAACTTTTTACTGTACATAGTTATTTACCTTTTATGACAATTTACTCTATATCATTTACCATATATAATACAGCTATAACAGCTGACTAGCTACCTATCATAGCGAAAGTATCATCTACTTGTATGAATAAACCCAAAAGAAATGAGTCATCTACTTGTATGAATAAACCCAAAAGAGATGAGGAAAGAATATTGTCGGTATTTTTTTTGATAAGGACGGTAAGGTAGGACCGTAAGCTTAGCGTAGGGCGGGAAGAGTAAGAAAGGGCTGTGGAATCAATCATCCTTATTGTCGTCGTCGTCGTCGTCGTCTGCTCGTCGGAAGCTATGGCTAACGTCTCTGCAATTTTCATTTACCCGATCAAATCATGCGGCGGTATTTCAGTTCCCCAAGCACCTCTTACCCCTACTGGTAAACCCCAACAACCCATCTCATTTCTCCCTCTAAACGCTTCACTCAATCTCTAGTAACAATCTTCATGAAGAGGCTGCCCCATATGTCTCTATTTTTTCTGCTTGGATTGTCATTCTATGCCGACAGGGAAGTATCTCCAAATTAGCATTTCTTAGTTACCTCGCTTCTCTCTTTTGTGATTGACGGCTCGGGCCGGGTACGCAGGATTTCGATGGGACCGTCAATGGTTGGTTGTGAACTATAAAGGAAGGGCATACACTCAGAGAGTTGAACCTAAGCTTTCTCTGGTCGAGGTGGAGCTGTCGAAGGATGCATTCTTGGAAGATTGGAAGCCGTCTGATACCTCGTTTCTTGGTACAATTTTGTTTGTTTCTGTTTTCGTATCTTACTGCCTGAAACTTTGTCATCCTGAAAATGTTCAGCTCTATCCTTCAATGTAAACCAAGCAAATCTGGTTTTGCAGTCATAAAAGCACCTGGAATGGATGTCTTAAAGGTTCCCCTGCGTGAACCGCCGGAGAATACAGATGGTGTCTCTGTTTGGGAATGGTCTGGCTCTGCACTGGATGAGGGAGACGCTCCATCAAAGTGGTTTTCAGATTTTCTTGGAAAACCCAGTCGGTTGGTTCGCTTTAATGCAGGTCTGAAATTCAATTTGGTAAATCGTGCAATGTAAAATTGGGAATGTCATTCAGTGTCTTAGTGGGTGTTAAATAAAGGGAATGATTCAGTATATTAAAATAATCAATGGTCTCATTGTTTCTTTGTCATAAGTAATCAAATCTCAGAGCTGCATGTTCAACTTACTTTGTTGCTTTGTCTTCTTCAGCTTCACAGACAAGGAAAGTGAATGCCAACTATGGTCCTGGACACCAAATCATGTTTTCTGACGAGTTTCCGTACATGCTGATATCTCAGGTTTAAAAACTATTGAGTCTGATTGTTCTTCCCTCCTAGACCGTGCATCTAACTAACTCCAATGTCTCTCTTGCACTTTGCAGGGATCTTTGGATGCCTTGAATGAAGTGCTCAAAGAACCCGTATCAATTAACCGCTTTAGACCCAAGTATGGCCCTCCTTTTTCTAAATGTCCATAGTTCCCGTTACAGTATGGATCCACAATGCTATTTCTTAGTTGTCTCATTGAGAATGCTACATGAAAATCTTGATATATGATAATTTATTTCTTTTAAGCGTTTGCTTTTTTCTATTTTTTTGAACTAGCATTCTTGTTGATGGCTGTGAACCATTCTCCGAGGATTTGTGGACTGAAATCGGAATAGACAAGTTCATATTTCAGTGTGTTAGGCTATGCGCCCGCTGCAAGGTATTGGAGTTGCCATGCCAAAATATTCTACGACTTCTTTGTTAGTTTTCCATAACAACTTTTGCAGTGGTAAAAAGAAAGAAAAAGAACTTTTGTCTATGATTCACTCCCTACATGCACATGCATTTAGTTTTGGGGGAATTTATGCTTTAGCGTGCCCATGCATATCATATATGATAAGTGATGGATTAAGGCCTCCAACAGTGCACACATACGTGAGAAGGGGTGATAAAGAAATATCAGGTAGAAAGTTATGAGTTAAGGAAATGCATTTTACGCAAGGGTCGGACGTATGAATAGATTCAACATATACTGATTTTTACTTTTTGTACAAAATTGGCACCTGAAAAAGATACTCTTTTGTGTTCAGGTACCTTCAATAAACCAAGAGACTGGAATTGCAGGACCTGAGCCGAATGAAACACTGAAGAAAATCAGGTCCGACACAGTCCTGCGTCCAAAGCATGCACAGAAGGGACAAGTAAGAACTGAATCTGAAAGTAGGATGCATATATTTTCTTTTTGGAAAATGCTTCACAAATGAACTTCCTTCTTTTTGTTTTTGTATGATTTCCCAGATTTTCTTTGGCCAGAACTTGGTGTGGAAAAATTTAGCAACTGAAGGGAAGGGAAAAATCATAAAAGTGGGAGATAAAGTCAACATACTGGGAAAGGTTTCCTCTGTAGCGGAAGCAGTCGCCTGAATACCGTAAGCTTATGAATTATAAAATAAATATCTGGAAGATTTCTGGGTAAAAGTAGTGTAGTAGCCAAATATGAAGAAAGTAAATAGGATGCTACTTGTTTGTATCCCAGTGTTTCCTCTGAGACTCATGACACTAAAATATAAATATGATCTCCATGAATAAAAGGGGGTACGAATTGCATCTATATAGCCACTCAACCTCGATATCAACTTTCTTATTGAAATTTATTTCTGGTAAAATCCACCCTTCTTTCTCGCCAAGTCTGATGCTCGTATTGATTGAGTTATATGCTGCTTCGCAATTTGATTTCTTCTTCATAGTTTCAAATACATTACTCTAAATTGAATATTGTGTGGCCTTTTTATGCTATGGTTCAAATTCTATTTAGAAGTTTTAATCTCCACATGTGAGTTATATATAGATTTAGATCTTCAGTTCTTTATTTGTAATTTAAAGTAGTGGTTCAAATGAACGATAATAAATTGGTCCAAGAAAGAGGAAGAAGGGCGTAACATGATGAAGCATATCTTGTAGGGTTTATTTATGAATTTGGCCTATAAATCTTTATTACATGGATCAGTTCAACGTTTTAATTCCACTTGAGTGATACCAATATCCTTCGTAAATGGTCATTCCAAATTTGTTTGCGGTAAATAATGGTAAACATTTTAGCGCCCACCACCATTGACAGAGAATTAGAGGCCCTCAGTATTTCGAATATTTGGCTCACTAACAAAAGTTTCTAATTTATGTTTCATCCTTGAAGCATTTGTTACCTTCCAAAAATACTCATCTTTTTAAATAAAGTTTATTCCTTTTCACTTTGAGATTTTGTTTCTTTATGATGTCTGTGTATAAGATGTGTGAAAATTCTAGAATGTCTATGAATTAGCTCAACTGTATAAAATAAGCAGAAGGCACAGTGTTATTAAATTACACTTAAAAAAGGAAATCGATAAATACGTAGTTCTGTTAAAAAGGAAGTCGATAAATACGTAGTTCTGTGCATTTGAGCCATTCAGATTAGCATATCTGACAAAATTCTTCCAGTAGGCGTTCGATAGTCCTCCTTGATGCAATCTTATTTATCTCAAATGCTCTAACTTCATCTGTGAGACCTGCATGCCAGCCATGCAAAAAGATGATTTCAATGATAAGTCATAAATTAGTGAGAAGATTGATGCTAGAAGTTATCAGTCAATCTGCATGCTATATGGAGGAAAAAGAAGTAACTTCGCACATTGAGTATGTAGATGTGCTTGCCACCTGTTGACGTTATCCCAAAAAAACTTTTCCAGGGAAAAAAGGGGGAACCTTGCAGGGAAAGTTTTACCTGTTTGATGAAGAACTTTCAGGGGTAGTTGTGATTGGGAGGTTTCAGTATTTAAAAAGACAGTCAGCTTCTGCATAAGCTCCAAAGAATCAGCAACAACTAGGATCTCTCTCTAAATTATGCCGGATGCACGGTAGACAGAAATAGTGAGGGTAGGGAAGAAGACAAGCAACACAAAATCAGTTATTAATGCAAGTTTCTCGCAAAAGGAAACATGGAACAAAGCACAGTTATCCTTGAATGTTGGTTGAAAGATGCATCCATTCAGATGAAAGGAAATTTTGAGTTTAATTGATTTATGGAGTATAATCAATGCATGCCCAAACTAAATATGGTTATGAGTGCCTAATTGCAGTAAGCCATGACCACTAAGTTCTATAAAGGATATGGACTCTTTGAAAGATAACTCACAAAAAGACAGAGAAGAAGATATGATAAAAGAGAGATACCTGGTCAACGTAATGGAGAAAGAAATAACGAGTTCTAACTTCTAAACACATGCATATAATAAGAAGGCCCTTAAACCTTTTGATTATACTTATTTCAATTTTGTAATCAAGCCATCATTTATTTATCAATTTTGTAATCAAGCCATCATTTATTTCCAGCCCCTAAGTGTCCATTCCATCCAAATTCTGCCGTTACTCATCTCACAAGTCACAGCAGAATGTAATGCCAATCACGTAACAGTAGAATTTTAACAGAGATAGCCATATTGAAGTTAATAGGAAGTTAAACTTGAGGCCTATCTATTTCAACCTTGAAGTTTTTCCGCACATCATAGTATCCAGAAACAACCACAAGCAGCCGAAGTTTCTCTACACCTGAAAAACAACACAACAACAGTTGTTTGAACGATGTTAGTAAATCCAGGTCTCGAAAGATGTCAAAGCTGAACGATGTTAGTAAATCAACAGGAGCTGAAAAGGTTACTTAAATGTGAAAGAAAGTTATTGCAACCAAAAGTTTCCTTGTGCTTCCCATTTACTCATATGGATGCACACAGTACGCTTCATATATACAAGATTCAGACCATTATCAATAGCAAATATGGAGGGGAGGAACACAGATAGCTAAGCAGGTTTTTTTACTGTGCCCATCTCATGCGGCGTGCACGTCCATTCTAGGTTATAAATGGTAGTTTTACCCTGTTTCCATAGTAAAGAGGGAACTTAACCTTTAAGGTTTCCATTTTTCCTGGATCTTCATAAACCATGTTTTCATCATTATCCTTCAAACAAGAAAAGGAAACACAAAAACGGAAATATAATAATGAAATCTTATTCAAATTTCAAAAACTTACTCAGAATGTTTTTCATGTCTTGAGTTGTGTTAACTTCCTGAGAAAGAAATTGAGCAATTGATATTCCAATGGAACTCATCCCAAGATCTTGCCTCCTAAATCTCTTTCCAGAATCGTCCAAAGTTCCTGGTTTAAAATTCAGAAAAAAAACTACGAATCAGAAACTTGAATTGAAGTTCAAGACAGATCACTGTGCAGATTGAAGTATCAACACTTATAGTAAATTATTAGTACTACAAACGTGAAACTTAACTTTAAAAAAAGAAAAAAAGAAAAAAAAAAAACGAACAGTCACTTAAGTAACATACTTACAAGAGTGTTCCATGAAAGTTGACATATGAAAGATGTGCATAAACTGGTCTTGGATATAAAAGCCAAATTATTGGTTTAACTAAGTCTTTAATTTATTTATTCTCCAAGTCTCCAAGTATACTAGTAACAAGAAAGGTATCCAGTTTTTTCATTGAATATAATGACATTGCATGTTCTTCGCCACTTAAGTAATTGGGATCAAAATATAATTGGGTTTGGCACAAAGGGGAATGCCCAAAGCATGGTGCAGAGGTAAGACTCGTTTTAATTATTAATTGCCTATTTGGCAATTGAGAAGGGTGAGGATATGCGAGTGTTTGCCCAATAGCTCCACAATTCAAATTTCCCTTTCTCTGGACCAGAAGAAGAAGATATAATTTGAAGTTCCTACTACTAGATTCTAAGGGTCCATACATTTACTGACCCTAACTAGATATTCTGAAAAGAAAAATAGTTCACTCGCGAGTCAACGCCATCAAATATAATTGATGTTAGTTTTTGTCAAGAGGATTTGACAGACAGAAATACACAAAACATAAAATTTTCATCAAATTTTGAAGAGATTAAATTACATAGGAGTATATATACAAGACAATAACAAACCAAAAATCATATTTCAAGTCCCCACCTTTCGTCCACTTCTTGAAATCCTTGAGCAGTATATCAATTACCCCAAGGTTGGACACATTGTACATCTTGTATTTCACTGTAGATGCATAAAAGAATGCCTAGATAATTTTAGAACAAGAATTAAAAGAAAAAATTAATAATAGTTTGAAATTGTACCATAAAGATACAGAGAATTGCAACATAGACATACATATCTGATAAAAGCCATTGCATCCAAACCGACCAGCACCGCTGATCAACAATGTAGCCATGTATTTATCTTTGGAGGTACATCGCGGGCTTGTAAGGTTTCCTGAATCTAATAGAATTCCAGCAAGCTGCGAGGAAAAGAAAACACACCAAAAGAGTTTGATTTTCTTAAAACAAGAAAGAGACTAAATCTCAAAAAGTACAAAGCTCCATAAGGAAGAGAGTGAAAAAAATCAAAACAAGAGCGAAAAAGATAAAAGATTGCAACAAAGAAATGAAAATAGAATACGGAGCAAAATCTTTAGGGAGAAAACACTAGGAGGAGGCATGTAATTCATTTAGAAAAAGAAAAAAGAGTCGAAGTACTAAACTACTTTTAAGAAAGATGTCTAAGCATGCAATACTTTTTGATTTGGAGCTAAGTTATATGTAATTTTGAAAACTGTTCGGATTTTTTTTAAAATTCTGCATAAAAATAATTAAAAAAAAAAAACTGAACAATCATGCATACGTTTGTGGGGCAGAACTAAGACTCCATCTACTAAATGGGAATGGTATAAAGAGTGATGGTAAAATTATCAGAATGGGAGTGAAATGTCAAATGTTGTATTTAATAAATTAATTTTGAAATTGGAATGAGAACGGAGAGGATTGCCAATGTTATTATTTACTAATACTTTGAATGAATGTCAAATCCAATTCATGTAGGACCCATAAAAAAAAAAAAAAGAAAAAAAAATTAACTTAAGAAAATTATGGAATTTGCTAAAATGGTAAACAAAAAGACATTGTTTTCCTTCACAAGAGGAATGAATCAAGAAGAATGGTTAGAAATTTTGGCGTTGGGCCTACACCTTGGGAATAATTTTCATTCCTTAAATACTTTAGCAAAAATGTGAAAAGGGATAGGAGAGCACGATTTCCACTCTCCAATTCCTGTTTCATATAGGAAAACAGAATAAGTGCCTAAATGAATGAACTTCCACAAGAGCAGAGATTCTAGGATAACGCCAAGAGAAGATGAATTTTAAAAGTTGAGGTTAAGGTAAGTGTAAAATGCATGCTGAACTAGCTAGGGGCTCAAAGCTTTGTATCAAATCTTGATGGGCCTTCTAGAAAACAGCATTTCCAAATCTCCTTCATCCGTAACTTCAAAGTAAATATGCATGATGGAGTCAAAAGTAGTTATCACAAGTAATAAATACCAAAAGTCTACTGAATCCCTTCCCAGCCAAAATCTCAGGTGAAAATTGAGCAAACTTGTCGGCAATGAGAGTACAGCATGAGCAGTCCTGTTTCACAAAGTAGTCTCAACCAAGAATTACCAAAAACCATAATTTCAGAAGACTATGTCCTAGGCCAGTTTGCACCGAAGGAATCAAACAAACGAAAGAGATTTGAACACTAATTTTTTTTCTTGAGAAAAAAATTAGTCAAATTACAACTGTCTGATATCTTGAAACTGACGAGTTCTGGTATATGAAAATGGAACACCTCATAGAATTCCTACAGTTGGAAGTTGGTACTGTAGTAAACTTTTTCCCTTGCTTTTGAATAAATGTCTTTATTGATTGGGACCATTAAAGATGATTATGTTAATCAAGTTTGTAGCAATAATTTTAGGGTATTAACACTGAACTTTGTAATTTCATTTGCGTAAAAATTACCTAATATTTTATTGACATTTATATATGATATCAATATTATTTTCTATGTTTAATAGTTACAACACAATTCTTCCAAGTGCTTAGCATCTTATCTTCTCCAGGTGCAAACTGGAAGGTCTTTTTATTCAACTTCTTTAATATGGGTTGAGCGGCTTGTCCCCTATTTTTGTATTTCTGATTTCAATGAAATCATTTATCGTCTAAGAAAATGTATGGTATAACCATAATCAATTCAAAAGGAACTTAAACATACTTTCTTTCTTGATTTCAATTAGTTATCATATATCATTAATTTCAATTATTTCTTGACTAAGAAAGTGTGTTTGTGTGTGACATGACACAACATGACATGTCCAAACAGATCTTCCATCTGATGGACTTCATAACTTCAGGTAAAAATATGAAATAGATAAAACTGCATAAAACTATACAGATGTCAAACCTGTTGCATTGTAATATTCTCAACCCAAGGATATTCAGTTTCATCCTGAAAAACAAAAGGAAAACATGAATGGTCAGTCTCTCATCAGAAGATGTTTGGAAGTAGCTAAATTCCTTTAATTCAAACCGAAAGAAATGGTTCAATGCACCTTATTGCAGTTAAAGATTTCAACAACCGCCTCTTTTAATGCATGCTGCAGTAAGAGAAGAAAAAATTTGACATTTCACAAGTACTGGTAGACCAGCTGTTTCCAGAACAATGTTGACCGTTGCAACTTGAGCTTACCTCTTGTTTAGCAGGAAGTCTGGAGCTGTTTAGTAGAACTACTTTAAGACTTCCAAATAACTCATAATATGATAGGTCAATCTGGGAAAATATTTAGTATTCAACATTAAAAAGAGGTATACTACCCAACCGAAGCTCAGAGAAACGTATCTGTATGCATATTGTTTGACCACTGGACACCTCTGTCATGCTTACATACAGCATAAGCTTACATTATGTTATGTAAAGATTAAACGAAACAGGAGTTCTCAATATTAAAGAAAAAAAACATATAAAATAGTATTTTACGGAAACTGGTATTACCAATCGTGTATTCCAAAGAAAAAATTATTTCCAACTCAAAATTTATGGAAGTTTATCTTACACATTACCTCTGAATGAGATGAAGTCTTTTGAATAAACGTCTCTTTCTCAAGAGTAGATGACCTTTTGGATTAAAAGGCATTTAACAAACTACCTTTTAACTCTAAAATCATCTTTTATAGTAACTTCATTATATAGTTATATGTTTAATGACTAGAATGAAAATTTGAAAGAAAAAATTTACATACATACAAGGATCTCATTTCATGTTTATCAAGTATTTAACGGTAAGTTTGAAATAATTTTAAAATTTAATGATACATTAAAATTTTAAAAACTAAGGAACAAAATGAAAATACATGTTTTAGTTAAGAGGCACGAACTACAACTTGGATCTTTCTCGAAGTATCATCTTATATGAGAAAACGAACGATATCCTTCAGTGTAGAGTATAATAAATAAATAACATTAAAGACAAATGAAAATAAGAGGGTAATTTTTAGAAAGTTTGACCTCATCTATAAAAATCAAAGACAACGTATTAATCTGACAGGAGCCAAGCAGCCATTTAAGTTCAGGATGAGAGTTTAGATCCGCTCTCTTCATGTTGATAACAGGTACAGTGCAATACTCATCATATTTGTGTGTCTCATTCAAGTAGAAAGCATACGTGATGGTAGAAGCAACTAACCCAACATCTGTATGAAGCCAGAAAAAAGTTAGATCTATATGAGGTTCTACTAGAACTCTATTTGAGCTTTTTTCCTTAAAAAAAAAAAAAAAAAAAAAA